GTTTGGCAAGGGCAAGGGCTGCACTGTATGAACACAATATGAATCTATAATGAAGAAAGTCTGACTGGGTGCGAGACTTCCTCCAGGAGCGTTCAGCACAACGGGAGCATCTTTGCAGGTAGCGTGTTGATTTAGTATGCCATGGTTGGGGGCGGGTCCTCCTCGAGGTGCTTGTTTGGAGTGGTGCTGCAGCGTTTAAGGCAGAGGTGAGGGTATGCGCCGTATATGCTAGAGGGTCCGTCCGGGCCCCCTTTCCCTCTTTTTTTTTTTTTTACTTTTTGGGTTTTGTATTTTTTGTTTTGTTTAATTCTTTATTTTTATTTATTTATTTATGTTTTGATTTTTTTTATTGTTTTTTTGTTTGCAAAACTATTTGTTTTATATTGTCAATAACAGTAACATGGGAGACAGAGGCCTGTATGACAGAATAAATCCATGGGAGTCTCAACTATACAATACCCATCGGTATAATACCCATCGCCCCTATCATGCCCACGTTACATAAGGTAAAGAGACAGTTTCAATGTGTCATTTCGCCTAGGCTAAGCAGGCACGACAGGTTTACTGATAGGTGGAAGCAGGGCCAGCCTTAGGGGTGTGAGAGCTGTGTGGCCACAAAGGGCGCCATGGTCCAGGGGGTGTCATGTGGCCGACACAGTTTGCACATGGCCGGTGTCAGGGGAGCTAAAACAGGTACCCAGGTGGAGGCGCCGTGAAGACTTTTCACACAAGGCGCCTAATTGCCTAAGGCCGGCCCTGGGTGGAAGCTCACTTACAACTTAGGTTGTACACTAATATGTTGTGCACAGGGACATGGATGGAGGACTATGTGGCATATGATGCAATAGGTAACAATACCTCTACCTCCACCATGTCCACACACGATATGTAAGCGTGGGGTTAGTGAGGTAATTTAAGAATCACTTGAGGGGGTATGATACTGCCGCTTGTTTAAGTATAACAACAACTTTTGTTCCTAGCTTAAAAAATTACCTTTAACAGCCTGTGTTATGATCAAGAACTGGTGTAAACTAATTAACCTTAAGGAATAAAGAACAGTTCTCCCTACGCATCATGGAGAATGGGGAGCCTGCCATTTGCCATTCAGGTTGCATCTTCGGCGGAGAAGATCTGCTTGATGGGAGCGTATCTGTTGCTCGAAATAGGCCATATTCCTTGAGCTTGGAGATACCAACTTCTGGCTCCAGGATAACCACCGATCTTCCTCGTGGTTGCGTAGGGTTTTGGTGACAGATATGAATTCACGTCTCTGTGCCATCATGGATGCGGAAAGATCCACATAGATGTTGATTCCTTGATATGGATCTGGGAGCGTAGCAAGTTTGTGCGTGGTGTTTAGTAGGAGATCTTTGGACTTTTAATATTGGAACCTGGCTATTGTATCCCGTGGCGTCTGCCGTGAAACAGGGAGGTCTGGGCAAGCGATGCACCAGAGCGGACTCATCCAAGTGCAGCACCAGGCTTTTGCAGAGGGATGTTAAGTATTGAGGCAATGCTTCGCTAGTTACGGTGTTGGCTATACCTCAAAAGCATATATTTTTGCTCCGTGATTGATCCTCGATGTCAGCCAATTTGTACTTGAAAGATTCATTTTTTTATTTTTTTTTTATATATTCTTTATTTTTGTTGTGCAAAAATGGTTACAAACAGGCCTGCAGTGCCACGACGGCAGTAACAAGCAAATCAAGGCATTCAGTATTATGACATAGGATTGAATTGCACAATTTTAAACAGGTAAGAACATGGTAATGTAGGTCTCTGCAGAAGATAAGCAGGTAAGAATGGTACAAAACAGGTATTTGCACTGGCATTTTTGGTATTGAAAAAAAAGAATTAAAAAAGGGGAGTAGTATTATAATAAGAGCATACTTCACAAGTATAACCAGCTTCTGGATTATATGTTAGCTTGGGAATGTATATAAACGGGTTATCGTTCAGGGAATTTACCCATTTCGCAACATGGGAAGCCTGTTGGGTAGATATGGGCCTTAATGTTAGGTTGCAAGCTACGTGGCCGCTGGTGAAGGTTGCCCCATGTATAAGTGTGTGGGTCGAAAAGCAACAACATGCTTTCATGCCGCTGGGTTGGGGCCAAAATACAGTTGTTATAGGCTACGAATACCACTGGGTAAGACAATGTGTATGGAGTTTAAATAGGGACAAAAAAAAAAAAAACAAAAAAACAAAAAACAAAAACAGTAGTATAGTCGTGTTACCATAGATTTAACTGGTTGAGCCGGACCTCTAGCTGTCTGAGCTCGAGTTGTATTATGGGAGCTGTAAATCAGGAAGAAATATTATTTAGTGCAGTATTACCTGACGCGGGCTGTGAGCTGTATCTCTGGTACTTGCTATGTACCTTTAGTGTTAAGGTGTGTCGCTGGGCATTTTGCATCTTAGTAGCTACTAGATCTTGTGCCGGAGATCCTACTGGAGAGATCCGATTGGGATCTTTGGTGTTCTTTGGGGCTGTGAAGACCCGGGGTGGTGAGGAGTGGGCCCTATGGCATGTAGGGGTTTTGAGTAGCCGCCCTGTTAATAATGTGTCGCTTTAGTGTTAGGATTGTTGGGAGCCTATACGTACCTGAGTGGGCATCTAGCAGTGCGTGAGTGAGGCGGTGAGCAATTGTTGCCTACACTGGATTTGGAAGATAGTGAGGCTCGTGCTTGGTGTTCCCCTAACCATGGGGGATGCGGGGGGGATGGGTGAGTGGTAGGCTCCCTTACTCGCGGGGTTGGGGGTTGTAACTCCCCTCCTATGTGTCCTATCTTAAGAAGACCCTGATAGTGAGGCAAGCATTTGTAAGTGTATCAAACAGGGATAAAAACTTGTAACAAAATACTTGTACAAAAACAGTGATAATGCGGCCCTTGGTTGTTTGCGTGAGCCGTGTTTAGGTATTCAGTCCTGTTCCCTTCCGTGGTTCGTGTTGTTGGCGTCGTGGGGTGAAGGGGACTATGGTGGTCGGGTCCCATGAGTGGGTGCTGGCTGAGTCATCAGGAGGTGCGGAGAGTCCCATTCTCCCAAATAGGGCTGGAGCTTCCTCTGCCGAGAATATAGTGTGAGCTGTCCCGTTGTGAAGCACACTGAGCGATCTTGGTGGCGTCCAGCGGTATGCTATTCCAGCATTCCTGAGCCGGCTTGTTACTGGGAGCATTGTGCGCCTCCACTGTAGGGTGGACCGTGATAGGTCTTGATAAAAAGACAGACCTGAGCCCTCAAACTGGTAGGGTGTGTGGTCCCGTAGTGCTGCCAGGAGTGCCCGCTTGTCTTGTGCGGATGTGCAGTGGATGAGGATGTCGCTGACAGCCTGAGATGGGGCCCTGGCTGATTTCGGTAGGCGGTACATGCTGTCGATCGTTACTTTTTTGGCTTGTGTTAGAGGTAGGAGTGAGGTTACTAGGCGCCTTAAATAATGGGGCAGTTCTTCCATTGTAATAGTTTCAGGTACCCCCCTGATTTTCAGGTTATTGCGCCTGGAGCGATCATCTAACGTAGTAAGTTGTAAGGAGAGTGCTTGTTGGGCTTTCCTCACTTCCTGGAGCGAGTCTCCCATGTGGGATACAGCTTGCTTCACCTCTATGATGTCTTCTTCTGTGGTACGGACCCTGTCAGTCACCATTTGCAGATCTGTCTGTATCACTGCAATATCTGCTGCCCAGGTCTGCCTAAAGTCAGCTAGAAGTGCTTTAATGTCTTGCTTAGTGGCTAGATTGGAGAAGTCAGGGTAAGGTGGTGCTGTTTGCTCATTGCCTTGTTGCTCAGATTGAGGCTGTGTCTCCTCCTGTGTGGGAGTCTGAGGTGTACTGGTGATTGTACCTGCATCCAGCGTCGCCATCTTGCTTTGGGCCTGTTTCTGGAGCATGTCCCCAATGTCTCTAGAATCTCCTGGTGTCCCCAGCGGTGGTCTTTGCGATCTCCTCCCCATTTCGGGTAGTAGCACTGGCGTTGGGGTTGCAGTTGGCTGTGCTCTTGTGCCCAGTATCTGGGACGGATTCTGCCACTCCTCGAGGCCGAGGCCTGGGGGGAGGTGGTAGGCCGCAAGCCTCCTTTTCTGCCGTTTCAGCCCGGGTTGCAGAAAAAAAGGCATGTACCGGCTCCGTGCGTCGTGCCGGGTTGAGTCTACCTGTTGTGGCAGTCGGATGGGCACAGATGCCCCTGATTTTGGGTGGATTAGGCAGTTTATCTCCGGAGCCGTGAGTAATGGCGTCCGCTCTGGTCCGCGGTTAAGCCCCGCCCCCCTACTTGAAAGATTCATGTTCCTCCTCAAGCTGCTGCAGCTTATACACCACCTCATTATACGCAGTGAAAAGCTCCTCCGTTTTGTGTTCCTCAAGTCGGCCATTTGTTTCCTCAGGTCTGTAGCCAGTTTCTTAAAATCCGCCAGTAGTGTGGATTGTAACTTATGTAGCATAGTCTGCAGGCTTCTATTCGTTAGAAGAGTTTCATCTGGCGTTAGTGGAGCAGTTTCAGGCTTCGAGCAACCCTGCCAAGCTGGTGAATATGCCACGAGATCGTCTCCATCTTGGATATGTTTCACCCGGTCCTTTTTGCTTGACTGTACCGTCAATTTCAGCTGTTTAGACAGTGCCATTATTCTCTCCCAGTCAAGAAGAGTAGAATATGCAGGCAAATTGATCTGTTTTAATCTGCTTGTTAGACGCTATGGGCCTGGTGGAGAACGGAGCTCTCACTCCATGCGACTTGTCTCTCTCCCAGTCGGACACGCCCCGACTTGTACCCTCTTAAAGTGCTAATAAAATACAAACTCTGGCAAAGAAAAATAAAATGGTAATGGAGGAGGCAATATTTAATAATTATAGTAGCACAGAGAGAAAATTACCACTAGAGGGCACTCAAGGTCTTAAACAGTAGTATGCCAGAGACCATAATTGGGATTGAATTGATTGAAAGGAAACGGAAAAGAATTTGCAGATTTAAAGCTTTGTAGTAAAGCTTTATATCTTTATATGAATATATTCCTACACATATTTAATCCCTCAATGTTATATTTATGGAAGGATCAGAGTGGACAGTCCCCCCAGGTATAAAGGTATAGCTCAAAACCATATGATTTACTATATAAAGGAACACTCTCCAACCACCATAACAACATCATCACAATAAAGTTGTTATTGGGGCTGGAGTATAGGCACCACCTCAGCTTCAGTGGACAAAACCCGTTTTACACCAGTTCAAACCGTTTAACCTTATCATTGTCCCTCTGGGCACCCATCCTCCCAGTGTTCCTTTAAAATCAAAACTGAGGGGGGGAGGGGTTATTTTTTATATTTAATTTATATTTAATGTTGTGTTATGTTTACAAATAGGATCACAAAAGAAAACTCTATTCACCATACCTTATGGTCAAATGGGAACATCCCCTGGTGTATTAAAAAAAAAAAAATGTGGGTGGGGGTTAATTTTAAAGTGCTCAACTTTTTTTTCTGTGCATGGTTTGAAATAGGGTGGGGTGCGCTAAAGTGTATAGCAGCAAAATAAAATTATAAAAAACGTTTATGGTAGATCTCTAAAGGAGAATATTTAAAATTAGTTTGTTTTTCTCTTAAAGGAACACTACAGTGTCAGGAAACCAAATGTGTATTCCTGACACTATAGATCTAAATATCTGTTTAGGCCGGTTCAAAAGGTGATTTATTCATCTTTTTCCAGTGCCTCGCAGGTCCAGTCTCGGCCGGCTCTGCCCCCATGGCAGAGATCATAAAACTTTATGACACTGTGCAGCACTGACCCAAGAAACACTTCTAGTGGCCATCTGAGTGACTGCCGTTAGAAGTGTTCCTAGGCAGCAATGTAGACACTGCCTTTTCTCTGAAAAGTCAGTGTTTATATTAAAAAGCATGTAGAGACAGGCTTTAGACGCAGAACCACTTCATTAAGCTGTAACTGTTCTGGTCACGATAGTGTCCCTTTAATTTTATTTTAAGCACTCCTTACATTATTTTCTTATTGTTTTATCCCCTGGAGTATAATTGTGATATTGTTCATAATACATTTACAATTTCTTAAAAAGAAAAACTGAATAGTTCATTTTATCAAAAAGGTAAAGACATTTTCAAACAATACCTGCCAACATTGGGAGGTATTTAATCGGAATTTGGTAAGGGCAGGCCTTGACATGGGTGTTGCCAGTGATGCAACCCAAGTCACTGGCGATGACCTTAATGCGCTGGTTTGACTGGAAGGACCATGTCCGCCTGACGTCAATTATTCCAGGCTGTCTAACAGATTATCTGGCAGGCTTGTCTCTGCATGGATGCGCTACTCCAGAAAATTGGACAGGACCCTGAAATCGGGACTACCAAAAGTGAGAGTCTTTGGAGGATCGTATTAAAGTCATTCCACTAAATTTATTTTACACTTTCTTGTTTAAATATTACTTAATAAAATGTTTTTCTACAAATTATATATGTTCAAAGGGTGAGGCCATGTTGTGTAAAAGGTCAAAAATCCTACATAATCTTTTATTAAAAAGAAAATAAATAAACAAGACTCATACCTACTACACACGAAAACAAGGCTGCACTGGCCATAAACCTTGTTTGCTCCTTCCTATATATTTTTGGGTGTTATCAAGATAAAAACTGAAGTATATTTTTGTATTGGTGTCACTAATTCAAACAAAGGTGTGGCTACCCTGTCTTTTCCTGCCAATTCCAGGAAGCTTTTTAGTTAAGTAAAGTCAAACAAGATCAAAATCACAAGGACTTCAGCGACCATGTTTACTAAACCGACTATCATTAAAACAAACAGATACTGTTTGTATGTACAACAAGTAGATTAAGAGTCACTTAAGGAACAATGTTTAACTGCAAGCACAACAATGGCAGACAGAAAGGCCCAGCTGGGCAGTGTTGAAACAGAAAGCTATTGTTTCCTCTTGCAGCAACTCAGTCTCTGGGTCAAAATGACTTTCTGTATTTTAAATTAATTATGTGGCTGGTTTGTTTATTCCGTAATCGAACTATAGTTGACACCATGTACACTAATACAGTGAATGTTAAATTAATGAGCTTTATAATTGGAAAAGAAGTGAATAGGATTGCATCCAGGATTGAATCTGATTTCTCGGTATAAACAAAGAATTATTGTATGTTGTAGAAAGCACGACTTCCAGATATTTGTTAGATAATCCATCTTTGTTTAGATTTAATTAAACATTTTTAGGGATCTACAGAACCAACAGTGTAACTGTTACTTGTTTGAGATCACTCTCTCCATCTTCCCTGCTCATGAGTAGAGATGTCGCGAACCGTCAGCTGACACGTCCCGGCCAATCTCCAGCAGACCCTCCCTCCCAGACCCTCCCAGACCCTCCTACTTCCATGGATGCTGTCCAGGAAGTAGGAGGGTCTGGGAGGGAGGGTCTGCTGGAGATTGGCCGGGACGTGTCAGCTGACCGGAGTTCGCCGCGAACAGCTCGTGGCGAACCGCGGTGAACCGTTCGCGAGAAGTTCGTGGACGGTTCGCGACATCTCTACTCAGGAGCAAGAGAAGTTCAGAACTGTTGGTTTATGCAAGGTTATGCAGAGTTCTATAGAAGCAGAACTCTGGATTTAACTCATACCGTCACTACTTAATATGAACTGTTACACCGGGTACATTTAGTTATGACAGTATTCAAGCATGTCCTTGAGTTTCCATGTTATCGTGTACATTAATAAACAAGCACAATCCGATTCCTTCTTCTTTTGTAAAGATCCTAAGTTCTATCTTAGTATAAAGCAAAACCATTTTTATTTTTATTTTTACCTGACTGCTATAGTCAGAATATTTTAGCCATTCTTAAACACTTCAATTATATTATTAATATTAATTTCAAATCCTCGTTCGTTTGTTTTTACACTCTTTATTTAAAATTTTAAGGAATTACATAGCGGCAAAATAAAATGAACACACACAGACTTAATTTAATACAAGAATATAATTACTGGAGTATACAAGTAGATCATGTCGGCAGTATAATAAGAAACAATGAAACTTCAGAAACAAAAAAAAAACAAAAACAAAAAAACTTATGCTCTAAATACAGCTGGGAGCTGCCTTCAAAAAGTAAAACAAAATTAAAAAAAGAGAGAGTAGGGGAAGGAAAGGAGGAAGTAAGTGACGTCATGCAAACTAAATAGTCAAGAAAAACAACAAACCAACAAACTTAAGTTTCATGGGGAGGTAGAGGATGAGCAAGGGAGAAACTCAGACCAGGGGAACCAAATTAGGCCAACCTGGGCCGAATGACCCTTAGTAGAATCGGTAAGAAACTCCATCTAACACAGTTTCTCAAATTTTGTTGTCCATTGTGGTAGGGTGGAACCAGCACACATGCTTCAGAGTGAGGACTAATAATTTTGCTGTGTATAAAAGTAGCTTTGTTAGGGATATTATGTAATTAGCTATTGACATGGGAGAAAAATAAAAGAGCATAACTTCTAGAGAGAGTGTGGTGAAATCCACATTCTTACTTTTTACGCTGTAAGATCCCCATATTATATAAACATTATGAACTATAGTTGACACCATGTATGGATAAAGGGGGTGCCCCAGAGACTCTGGTGTCACCCTCTGCTGGGGCAGACCTGGTGATGGCTCTGTGAGCTCCAGGCAGTTCAGAGCATTGTGGTAGGTTACCTCAGTGACGCTATCATGATATGAGACCAGAACTCACAAGAGCCATTACACAACTCTCGTATCTCTAACTGGCAACTGTTAGAGAGACCAGAGGTTCTCCACTCTGGACCACCTAGGGTAGGTAAGAGTAATGTCCCCCATCCCAAGGTAACCAGAAGAAGGGCGCGAACAAAATATATTTTATTTTTCAATAAAAATAAAAAAACATACTGCATTCCCAGCATACACACAAACACTTTGCCTTCTATTCCAACTAGCATAGCAAGCTCCACGGGAGAGTGTCTTCTGACACCCCATGATAATGTCTGTATAGATTCTGCACGTATCTCTCATTCATACAACAAAATAACTTGTAAACCAATGGATACATCTCTTAGAACCATCTAAATGGAAACCTGACTGCACCAAATGATTTGTATTTAAATAATAACATATGTTTTTGCAAATTACTTTGTATAAATAAAATAATAAGCACCTTGCAGTAATGTCTATATACATTTATGTCTCTGATTTCCATTTTTAAAGCTAGAGATATAGCTGCTGAGATTTCTCAGCTGATTAATATACTATACATTCTGTTCAAACTTCAGGCTTGCAGAGACATGGCCCCTATTAGAATCAACTAAACCTTCCTTCCAAGTCCAATACATTAAGTATTATTTCTATAAAATTAATAATTTGGCAATAACTTAACTTCAAGAGCTAAAATCCTTGATACTGCTTGGAGAGAAAAGTACCCTCTAAAAGAGGATTATTATCCACTTCACCTTTTAATACTTTGTATTAAACGGATTAGTTCATTACATTTATTTTTTTTTATTTCTGGAACCACCCTTACTATACCCAACTATACGCTAAGCCTGAAACTGGAAGCACACCATGCCTCAGCCTGCGGCCTACTGAGACCGATGGTCCGGTTGTTGGGAGAGACGGATGATCTCCCAGCTCCGGGCTTAAGCCTGCCAAAGAAGTCCGAGCAGCAACTAAGCTTAGTCATACACTCTATTGAATTTTAATATATATATGTGTATTGCAGTAAGTTAATGACAAATTTGCAGGGTCGGTGCAAGGATTTTTGACTACACAGGTGAATATGTATTTTTGCCCCTCCCCCCCCCCCAAAAAAAATGTATTTTCACCTGTGTGCCTCGTAACCCCTCTTTTGAATTTCTTACCCCCTTTAGTGTTACATATGCCCTCTTGAATGTGTTATCCCTGTGTGTGTTACACCCCCTTTAGTGTATTATATCCTCCTTTAGCATCTTACACGCCGCCCTCCATGTCTCTTACTTGCCCACCAGCCCCGTTCTGTGTCACTGTGCTTTAGTGTGGGGATGGGGCGGAATTGTGTGGGATAAGTACTTTATTATTATTATAATATATATAGTGCCAATAAATTCTGTAGCGCTGTACAATAGGGCTTTAGTACTGTGTGTGTGTGGGACTAGAGCTTTAGTCAAGGGGAGATAGGAGTAGTATTGGGGAATAGAGGCACTATTATGGGGGGGATAGGGGCAGTATTGTGGGGGGTTGGGGCCTTATTG